CCATTTTAAAACTACAACAGGCTTAGCAGACAAAACTACTTGTAAAAAGAGGTTTTTTTCCCCAATTGAGCCAATGAGGCATACATTTAGTAAATGAACAAAGTAAAATTGTGCACACTTATTTATTAATGACAGAAGTACACACAATAAATAGCACTGAAAACTGAAATGTGTAGTATTAGCCAACTACTGGAGTGCTTTCTGCACATAAAAGGCATAAATCCAAACCATTCACACAAACCATTTTATCCACTTTTTACAATTTTCTCCTCATTTTAATTACAGAAACTTTTGCCTTTATCTTGCATTGGTTCTGCAGGTTTCACCAACAGAAATTTAAAACCATATGAATTGGATTTAAGGCTTGTATAACAACCAAAATGTACAAAAGGAGACTGCATATTTTGTAAAGGTTAGTGCCAAGATTTTTTGCACAGAATGAATGTAGCATCATACGGGAGACAAACTGGCAAATTTTCACTAACCCAGGATAGATGCAAAAAGCTAGCTAGCAAAGGTTTTTAGCAGCTAGTTAGCAGTATTCAATTAGAAATGTAAACTACATAGAATACACAACATAAAACAGTCTGCCGCCACAAAATTTAAGATACACTAAAACTCGATAACCAATATCAATACCAACAATTGTTTCCCATACCTACCAATTTAAACTATATGGCTTTCTCTCTGGAATTAAAATACTGCATTATCTTTGTCAGTTTACCCTGCTACCAAATGCAAATGCTAAAAAGGAGGCTGAAAATGTTTATTCAACTTGCATTATGTTTAATGTTGAATTTATTCATTACATCTACTCTCTCTAAGACAGGGGTGCCCAAAGTCGGCCGGCATCCTGCATGTTTTAGTTCTCTCCCTGGTTTAACGCACCTGGATCAAATGACGGCTCGTTAGAAGGCCTAAGAGGAACACTGTCAAGCTGAAAAGATTGTTACTACCACCAGGGAGAGAATGAAAACGTGCAGGATGCCGGCCCTCGAGGACCGACTTTGGACACCCCTGCTCTAAGACAATGATGACACAATGCAGATTTGTAGATCTTCACAAAACTACACTCAATCTATTCACAAGCAACAAGTGAAAAGCACATCAGTCGTGTATTATTACTTAACAGATTCTTATGAATCCTTATGAATTCTTATGTACTGCAAGCGTCATAAACAAGTAACAAAAAGAGCAAAGTTTAGACCCCATGCATCAACACTCCACTAACGCAGTGTTTCCATCTCATTAGGACATCTGCTGTCACAAGCAAATGGATAAGCCATTCATTCAAGACAGCTTCTATAAATACACACAACTCCAAAGCTACAGTCAGTCAAATTTATCTGAACTAGGCAAAATATCAGATCCTTTTGCCCTTCAAAAACCACGATGACTCAGATGACGGCTGCTTGGGGCAACATGATTTACAGGCCAACATGTCTGAGTGCCCTTCAGCAGCCATACATTTTCTTCCTCTCAGGTGACGCATTTACCTGAATTATTCCCTAAACCAGCGTTGCGAGCAGAATGATTTCTGAAGCGCTGAGGGTGGAGGGATCTTAATCAGAAATTAGAACATCTAATTACAGCCACAAATATCATCTGCAGTGTGCCCCACTCACTTCATTTGACACATCTATTAACCATCCCCAGCTGCTGCTTCATGCAGCATTACAAACATGATGCTAGTGATGACACATTTTAGTCATGGCCCTGAAGGGGGGCTAATGCTGAGAAGGAGAGAATGGTGAATCATCAAACTTCAACCAATCACACTGCCTGCAAGATTCAGTGCAATATACTGACTTTTTGTGTATCAAATCTAACAGAGGACTGCTGTAAACCATTAGAACCACTGTAAAAATACTAAATCTTACCAAGTACTTTTTGTGTTTCTACTGTAAATATCTTAGTACATTTGAAATAAGACAAAACTAACTCATAAGTAACTTTTTAGCAAGATATTTGAGCTTGTTTAAATAAATTCCCTAATATTGATGAAAAAGTGCTGGTTTCATTGGTAGATTATTTCACCTATAACATGGGAAAATGGTCTTGTAAATAATCTGCCAGTGGAAATAGAATGTTTTCAACCAAATAAAGACATTGACTTAAAACAAGCTTGTATATCTTGCAGAAGTTACTTTTAAGTTGTCTTATTTCAAGGGTACTGAGATATTTGCTCTGGTTTAACGAACCTGGATCCAAAACAGAACATCGACAAGCTGAAAAGGTTGTTACTACCACCAGGGAGAAAACTAAAACATGCAAGATGCCAGCCCTCGAGGATCAACTTTGGGCACCCCTGGTCTAGAAACTAGACCAAAATTACTTGGTAAAATTTTGTGTTTTTGCAGTGATGTCTGTAAAGCATCCAGAAGCCATTTGAACAACCACAACACAGAAGAGTAGCTGGAATATTGGTTGGCATAAGAGAGCCTTCATAATTAGCACTGAAGGGCAAAAATAATGATAGGACAAGTGGACACAGATGAACCCCTGTGGTAAAATGAACATGCTCTAAAATCCAACCGTAAAACTATATTTTATCGGTCATACTAAAAAATAACATTTATTTTATTTAAAATATGTATCGTCAAAGGGGGGAATAAAGCTGAAATGAACAAACTAGGCTTATTCTTGCTTCAAAAGCAGGAAGCGGACTATAGCACTGGGAATTATGGGTGGATAGAACCAAAACGAACTAGCGTTAGCAGGAAAAATGGCTTTTACCAAAGACAAAAGAGAAATCATCCATTCTACCACCGCAAAAATCTGACGCTACTCCACTTTTGTTTATATTATGTGAAGAAGAAAGTTGTGCTCATGTCTTCTTTATTGGTTTTTGTGCCGTTTCATCAAACTATCCCTTTGATTATCCAAAATTTCTACAGTCTCTGTAAAATTTCCATCAGTTGTTGACATTAAGAGTAGCAAAATACTTTTCAATTGGTCAAATTAATTATAGGCATGCAGTCAGGTAATATATAAGACTAAAAATATATTATTTAACCAAATTCTGCATGCAAACAGCTCTTTGGCATTGCAATAATGCACAAATTAAAATTCCAATGGCATTGGAGCTATAATTTAAGAAACCGTCTAAACTGTTGCTATTTATTGGTTTTGCACCAATTCACTTTGTTGTTAAGTCTAAAGTTATAATATCTATAATTTCTCTTTCTATATACAGCTAAATAGGAGAATTTCTAAATCAAGCTACAGTTGAGCTCAAAGTTGTTCAAACCTCCTGGCAGTTTTAAATTTAAAATGTTGCATGAACTTCAACAATATTTCTTTAAACAGGAGGCAATAATTATTTGGATGGCCCAGACAGAGCTCTGGCTTTAAACTGTGAAGGGAGCTAAAGAGTAAGGTGATGGTGAAGAGGCCTTCCAACTTCAAAGGCCTGGAGTTTATTACCATAAATAAATCCTGAAAATAAGAGTACAAACATTCAGAAAGTTGGTCAGCAAATACAAAAAAAGTTTGGTTTCTCCAATGCCAGTAAAGATGTTCATTTGGAAGTGCATATATGGTTTCATTTGTGCCATTCTTTATTAAAACCTAAATAAAAAACTGATCAAAACTGATGCAGTCTTAAAATGGTTTCATCTCTTGAGAGCTGCTTGTCTCATTTCCTGTCACAAACTTCTGGTTGAATGGAAATAATTTTAAATCCAAATGAAGTCTTGACCAAGGACACCAAAATAGTCGGAAGAGAGGAAGTGTGAATCAAAATCACATCCTTCTTATTCTGCTGATTACTGAGTGGAGTATGTATACATTTCAACTTGACTTTCTAAATAAAAACTAATTTTCCTCAAAAATGATAGTCCTTTTACTTGGTTTCATTATCTTCTGAGACATCCTGGCCTGATTTCACAAACCAAAATTCTTGGTTGAATAAAAAATATTTTCCATCTAAATATAGCAGGCACATGGATAATTTATGGCTCAGCTATACACTTGTCCTCCTGTACCATTATAAATTATCTGCTAGAACTATTAGACTAAATGTTAGTGTGCACACAATAAATTTTAACATAATTTAAATAGCTTTGATAACTATAAAATAACAATAAGTGTGGCAAAACAATAAATTAAATGTTTAAATGTTAATATTTTCATTTGAGGGGTTTGCAGACAGCAGTTCTAGCCACAATTACCAGTTATGACTAATGATATATTATAACTATGTCTGTCAAAGTGACAAAATATATCAATAAGATTAGGAATGTTAGCATTCCACAGGTGATAACAGCTGGCTAATGTTTCCATCATATAGGAAATGAGCTGTCCTTGGTAAGCCAAACAGTGACAGTACCCCGCATGAAGCTGACGTGACATTAGATATGAAATGTCCCAGAAAGTCATGCCACATTAAACATAGTTAGCTTAACCAAAACAACCACATTGGTTTTGAATAACGGAACAAGGTGAGCAACCGCATCACCTTCCGTTCAACACTGAAACACGAAACAAGCCCCGTTTCCAGCAGCTGACTGACTCCATGTTCCCACTCTCACCGACTCCCAATAAATTTTCTTGCCCCCTCTTTTATACAACCCTCCTTGGGATAAATCAAGCACCCTAACTGGCCGACATTTTGTTCTAGAAGGCTAGGCTAGCTCCCTGTCGCTAACGGTACCTGGACGCGCTTTTATTTTAACAGCCAGTCAGGGCGATGACAGCAGGGATGAGGGTGAGGTTATGTCTTAACATGACCCCCTCGTGGAAGCTCGAAGCTAAAAACAGCCGAGGGAGGGTTGTTGTTGTTGTTGCTGCTGCTGCTGGTGATTTCACTGAGGGATAACGGTCGCTAGCGCGCGGATGCAGTTAGTTAGCCGCGAGGTGGCTAAGTTACCTCGGCTTGCTATGGACCGTTATCGCCCGCATGTTGTACCCGGAGGGAAGGAAGGTGGGAGGAAGGGGAATAGCTCCAGTTCGCCCCGAAAGGTACCGTGAAACCCATAAAAACAAACAAAAACATTCACCTTCGGAACTGCAATGGTGTCCGCGGCGTGCTTGTGGAGGTCTCACAGAGGAGGAAAGGGTCTCCAGAGCAGCAGCAGCCGCCGCACTGCAATGGCAGGCAGTGGATGAAGCCTTCCTTCTCCACTCCACCCCCCGCTCCGCGCTCGCGTTTCGGCTGCCTTCTCCGCCGCGGTGACAGTGACGGGCTGGCTCGGAAGAAACCATTCCCGTTTGTTCGCGGGGGAGAGAGCAGGGAAGGGATGCAGATTGTAGGATCGCCACAGCAGCAGAAGCAGCGGCATGGAGCGCCATTCCACAGAGAGCAAAAACAATGGAGGAAAAATGATCTATGGATGATCTCCGCTCCCAATGTGGAAGGAGGAATGGAACCGGCTGTTCATTATGTCATCGATTCCAATAGATCCATTAATAAGGAATATTTCATACAGACAGAATGGACTCATTTCTCTTAAAGCTGCAGTATGTAACTTTTATTAAATATATGGTTTTCTTTTTTTTACGTATTTGTTAAAACTGTCACCAAGTTTTGACAGTATGTTATGAGCAGAGAAGGGTAGTAAACTAGTTACATTTACTCAATTACATTTACTTTTTGGAAAAAATGAAGACAATTTTTACTTGAGTAATTTTATTAAGAAATATTGCTACTTTTACTTAAGTAAATTTTCTTGATTCTCTACCCATTGAATGTTTTAACCAAAAATTCACCAGACACAGAAAGAAAGAAACTGATTTAGAAAAAATTTTCTTTTGCCTGATTTGTTTTTTGTTACTTATGTGAATTGTTGTCATTTTCATCCTTATAAACCAAATTTACTTTTATATTGAAAAAAAAAAAATATATATATATATATATATATATATATATATATATATATTTCTGGTTGAATTTATTTATTTCTATTAATTGATTTCAAAATACCAGGATGTGCACCTAACTTTATACATTTTTGTCTGTCTAATAACATCACGTAAAAATATAAAATTAGATGTTATAATTAGTGGCTCAGTAGTTACTTTATCAAATATTTTTTTAGTCTTAATTGAGTAATTTCTTGGACGGCTACGTTTTAACTTTTACAACATCAAAAAAAGTAGTGCAATTCTTACTTGAATATAAAAACTAAATGTTTATCTTCAAGCGGAATAAACCTCAGCATACAACCAGACCTGGAATAGATTAGAAAAGAAAATATTTTTGCTTTACAAAGGCCTAGTCAATGTCCAAACTTAAATCCAAATGAGTATTTGTGGTAAGATTTGAAAAGTTAACACAGCCTCTTTAAAGTAATACTGACCAATCAATTTGTTATGTTACTTTCATTCAGCCAGCTGCCACACATTCATACACTAAATATCCATATTCATAAATGGCCTTGCCCAAGAGTATAACAGCATATGATAGACAGGGAAGTCAAAGTCAAACCCAAAACCTTCCGATGGCAATGCAATAATTATTTCACAATGTGCCACATTATTGAGTCAAAAATAAAATGTCTTGATGCTTAAAGCTGGTGGAGACAATTCAGTTCAGTGTATTTACATAGAACCAATTCACAACAAATATTTACAAAAAATAATTTTAATTCAATCATACATACAACCCAATTGATCCTAGTTATCAGTCAGTGCATTAGCATCAATTAATTATTAACAGTATGTAAACAGTCTTGAACAACACAGCAGACTTGCAGCAAACAGTGTTTCTGCAAAATATTGACTCAGTTTCACCTTCTTCTACATTTTATTAATACAAAACTTCTAAATCCAAGTACTTGTTTTCTTCCATTTTACAATTATGCACCTTTGTGTTTCCATAATACCATTAGTTAAAGTTTAGTAGTTGTAAGAAATTGGAGGAAACCGAAAGGGATGTCATCACTTTACGACGCTGCAGTAAAGCTTTATTTGATGATGGGATAGATATTATTATTATTAAATACTATGAAAACAGAAAATAAGTTGTTAGTGGCTTAAAAACATGAAGTTAATGGTTAGAAAGCTTTAAGATACATTTTTAAACTGTACATCTGTGAAAGCATTAATTATCTTTATTTTATCTGCACTTGTGTGTCTGTAAAAAACATAACTGATGCAAAGCACATTCCACATGCAAAACAAATGATAAAGGATTCAGTATCGACATCATTTTTAGCGAATGTGAACTTCTTTTATACAGAAAGCTGAGGTACATTACTCAAGTAGTAATGACATGCTGCAGAAGGTAATTTAAAATTCAGAGGATAGAATTAGAATCTAGCCCACAGTCACGATGCTCAATACCCCGTCCCAAGGGGCTCACAGATTTAATCAATATACAGTATAATGTAAATTGTGCAATGCACCAAACCTCACTCTCTAGACTCTCTCGTGCATGTTAGTTGTTTTTTTATTATTATTATTATTTGGTGCTGGATTTTCCAGATCTGGCTAATTCTTTGCAGCAGCTTCTTCTTCTTGTATTGGGCTGTATTTTATCACTCTGAGACTGCGTGACCGTTCTTGTCAACTCTACCTGTGGCACTAATGAGCCAAGAAGAAGAAAGAGGGCCTGAATGTAATGCTGAAGGAGCGCTAAGGTTGCTGACGTTAGGACATTAGAGCAAAGTCCGCTGGAGGATCGGGAGGAGGACGCAAGGGGACCGGCGACATCTTGAATGGAAGACTGTGAGATGACCAAGGTCACGAGAATTAGATAAACAAGGGCAGGCAGAATATCCTGGGGAAAAACAAAGAATGATGAACAGCAGCTGCAGAGGGTGTGCATTTAAATAAAGCTCAAAGGAGGGGAGAGTAATGTAAAAATATACTGGATCCATTCCAGATTTATTTTGTTTTTGCTTTTTTGTCACTTTTATACAACAAAACTGCCCCCAACCCTTATTATATCACAGAGTTGGGCAGTAACTATTTAAATTTACTTGAGCAACTGTAACTGAGGAGTATTTTTTACTTTTACTTGACTGATTTTATTATGAGGCATTGCTACTCTTACTTGAGTAAAATATCTTGATACTCTACTTACTGTGACTTCTCTGAAGATCAAATTTTACTTTAAAACTTCAGCAAACACATACACATTTGCAGTTTTTGTTAAAATGTCATCAATTTTATATTGAAAGAAACTGATTAATAAAAGTTTCTTTTGCATGATGTTGTAATTATGTTATTTAAATAAATTATTTTCATTTTGAATTTCCACATAACTTTATATTTTGGTTCATCTGATGACGTAATTTTTAAATATTAAATGATTAGTTACTCATTAGCTGAGTACTCTTTTTTTTTTTTTTTTTTACCAAATACTTTTTTACTCTTGAGTAATTCCTTGGATGGTTACCTTTTACTTTTACTTGAGTAAAAATATGTTGAAGTATTTCTAGTCTTACTTGAGAAAATATCTGGACACTTTACCCAATGTGAAAAGAAGAGCAAACATGTTTTAACCAAAAATTTGCTACAAAATTCGTCACAAAACGTGTCTGCAGACACACACCTGCAGTACGTCACAAAACAGATAATCTGTGACAAGATCGATCGATCTCTCCTAGCGCTGTCAATCAACCTCAAGTACCTGCTAGAAGCGAAGAAACAACTTACAATTTATCTACTGTCATCGATGGCCATGCTAACAAGTCTTAGCATTCACAACAGACACTGCTAGCTGCAGTGTAGAGCCACACAGATAGTGACTGATAGCGATAAGACCCGCCTCTTACTAACTGATTGGTTGTTTTTAGCTAGAACCGTGAGAAGGCAGAGGAGCTCGATTTTTTCACAGGTTATCTGTCTTATCAATCAATCAATCAATCAAT